CCGCAGGTCTCTTCTATGTGATGGTAGTTTAGATGATCGATATCGACTTGTAATGTGAAGACAAACTCGATACTCGCCGTCTTGAGACTTGTAATGTTTTATCTTTGTTCGGTCTTTTGAATTCGGAGACTAATATGATGAATTGTATTCGAAGACTAATCTTCTATTGTATTCGATGAATCTTCTATTGCTGTGTGCTGCTGTCTATATTCTGTCCAATAATATATTTTGTAACCTGTGCAAAAATCAGAAAAGTAAAAAAATATATGCATACTAATGGCGCATCACCACAAGGTGCGCCATTAGTACGCCAAAGGATACTAATGGTGCATCATGACAGACTGCGCCATTAGTATGACAAAGCACATGGTTACGTATGGCCCCCCGGGAGGCATACTAATGGTGCATGGTGTTACATACTAATGGCGCACTGCGTGGTGCGCCATTAGTATACCAGATACTAATGGCGCACCAGAGGTGCGCCATTAGTAAGAAATATTAGTGGTGTGATACTAATGGCGCACCGGTAGTGCGCCATTAGTAGGCAAAACCGGTGCGCCATTAGTAGGCCTTTTCCTAATAGTGATAGTCTGAGGACCTTGTATAAGTCATGAAGAAAGTAGTAGCAATGAAACTGTAACAATCATAATGCTAAGCTAACGGATGGGTCATGGCCATCATATCATTCTCCTAACGATGTGATCCCGTTCATCAGATGACAACACATGTCAATGGTTAGGAAACATAACCATCTTTGATTAACGAGCTAGTCAAGTAGAGGCATATTAGGGACAATATGTTTTGTCTATGAATACAATTCTAGCATGAATAATAAACATTTATCATGAATTAAGGAAATAAATAATAACATTATTATTGCCTCTAGGGCATATTTCCTTCACTTCTATTCATGTTATACCTTATACCTTTTATGATAAACTTCATGATGAAATCTATTCTTGCGATATCCAGTCCACAGAGATGGAAAGAAAACTAGCAGATGGGGCTCTTAGGAAACCATATGGTATTGTGCCTGATGTTTATGTTACCTTGGGAACTTTCACCTATCTTGTGGATTTCGTTGTCATGGAAATACCTGAAGATAATCTTTCTCCTATTATTTTTGGGACATTTTCTTACGCTGCAAGTGCAAAGATTGAGTGCAAAAGAGAGGTGGTCCCTCTCAGGTTTGTAGAAGAGGTAAAGGAATTTCATTTCTCAAGGTTTAAGAATCCTCCACAACCAAGATAACATGATGATAACGAAGAGAAGACAATTGCACAATTGGCCCCTATTTATTTGATGAGCTAGAAAGAAGCCTAGTTGATATGAACAAGGTCCAAAATACCCATCTAAGATGGAAATTGATCAAAATTTAGATGAGGCGCCAGTGCAAGATTATATTATGATGAAGGATCTTTCACCTCCTAAGATCAAGCCTGTGTCGAAAGAATTGAGGTATGAGTTTTTAGATGACAGAAATAAACATCCTGTTATCATTAGCGCTAACCTTTCAAATGAAGAAAAGGATGAACTCGTGAAAACTTTGAAGAAGCATCACAAGTCTTTTGAGTACTATGGATGATCTTAAAGGAATAAGCCCCTCGAGGAGTTAAATCGGACCTAATCAAACCCTTATTTGGCTTAACTGCTAAAAAAACTTAAGCGTCGGCTCAGCTGGCCCTCAAATATACTTGATTGGTGCCACTTCTTAGGAAATTTTGGCCATCTTCCCCGCTCACACTGCATTGACGCCGATGTTGCCTCTAGTGTCAACCTGCATCCTTCGCCGCCAGCCTACCGACAACCTGCAACTTCGACCACCCCTCCTGCCCACTATGATTATGTCACCAGTCACCAAAAACGACTGATATCTCTCCCACCACCGCCTCGATCTTGTGGACAAGAAAAGCTCCCAAGGGGCTTAGTTTTCTCGAAAATGAAGTCGGCGGTCGACAAAGATGGCGTAGAGCACGTGCTGAGGAGTTAGGCGGCGTCGTTATCACAACAAGATTTACGAGCTTTGACAGTGATCGACAAATTTTGTCGTCGACCCGGGAGTTCTGTTTGACGAGAATCTTCCTTTTCTGAGCCTTGTTTTCTATTACCGGTCATCTCGCGAGCCCGCCATCCACCCCTAGATTGAGCATCGGCTCAACACTGCCGACCGAGGATCTCACCTCCTCCACCGTCAAATTGATTGATGAATTGTTTAGGTACTTTTTTGAGCTATTTTCATTATGTGTTTGCTATTTCTGCAATTAAATTCAACCTAGAATATTGCATGGTGTAGATGAAGAAATTTAGGGAGATGTTCTTCGACGAATGTTTACCGGACGAGGCGGAAGAATACGATGACGATTTCAAATTTGATGAAGGAGTACTTCAATCCCAATCGAGAGAAATATTTTCGTCAATGTTTTAGATGCACCAAAGTCTTCCTCACAATTGTAAAAGTTGTGGAGAAGCATGATGAAGGTTTAAATTGAGGCGATCAAGGCTAGGATGATAGTTTGAACGTTTGTACATCAATCGGGATAGCGCAAGGGGTGATGCCAAGATGATGAAGGATTAGTTCAACCCCAATCCAGAGAAGTATTTTCGTTGACGATTTCGGATGCACCGAAGTCTCGGTCTCACCATTGTATTTTTTTGGAGAAGCCGTATGAATGGTCTAAACCGAGGGGAGTGCATCAGGGGAGATAAGTGCTAGGCCTATGATGAAGTGTGTCGCGGCTGTCTGAGTACTTGCCTATGGGTATTTGGCTGTCACCATTTATGACTATGTCCGCATTGGGGAAGATTCAATTCTGGAGACCTTTCGAAGATACACACAAGCCGTGATTAAGATCTATGATGTGGAGTACTTGAGGGGCCGAATGATGAAGACACCAAGAGACTTTTGGGTTTGAGTGAGGAACGAGAATGACCTCGGATGTTTGGATCAATTGATTGCATGCACTGGACATGAAAGGTTCTGCAAGGTGAAAATATCAATACAAATGGCACTCCGAAGATCCAACAATCATTTTTTCAGGCTATTGCCTCGGAGGATCTATGATTTTGGCATTCATTCTTTTGATTTCTAGACTCTCATAATGATCTGAATGTGTTGTCAAGATCACCACAATTCGGACGGCTTGTTGCTGCAGATGCTCCTCCTTGCAATTATTTGTCAATGACCGTCAGTACACGATGGATTACTACCTTGCAGATAGCAACTTTCCTCCATCCACATTTGTGAAGACAAACCCGCATCCTAAATTGCGGTGTGCTTTAGAAGCGCTTTACCATTATTCGTGGCCCTGCTGAGTATTGGACTCCACGGGTCCTATGACAAATAAAGACATGTTGCCTCATCTTGGATAACATGATCATTGAGGATGAGAAGGCAAGCTAGCTAGAGAACTTTCGATACATCGTCAATGGGGATCTTGTTGAATCGGAACACGATGCAAACATGATACATCAATTCCTCAGAGCCCATGGGCTACCAAAATCCAAGACAAACTTGCAACGGCTGATTATCAACAGACAACCAATACCTCAAAAAATAAAATCAATAGACACCAATTATAACAATTAAACAGTGTCAATTTTTTTATAACAATTAAACAACGGGCAAAACAGGTGGTACAATCAAAGGAGTAGGTCTCGGTGGACTAAGCAAAGTGCGGACCCTAGCATATCATTATTATGCTTATTATGTACTCCCTCGGTCTCATAATATAAGAACGTTTTTGAGGACGCGGATTTTTGGGACATAGTGCCACGCGAGGTCTTAATCTAGGCCGGCTATTCGTGCTTTTAGATCCTCAGATTATATAGAGACTTTTGGATACTGATGCACGATATTCCATACACTATAAATACTGGGCTAGAATACGACGCTTCACTGGGCCAGGGGTGTTAAATGTGGGCGTATTTATACCACGGCAAGGTCAATTATTAATGTTCCAAAACAGGTCAGGGATATCATTACTGGCGTACACCCAGGTACTAGCTGTTTGTTAGTGAACAACTTCATGGATTAATGTTGCATCTGCCCAAGGTTGTCATGTTCATGCACTTTCAAGAAAAGGCTGTCCTGTCCATCTTCTACTGTCGAGGTTGCACTGTAGCCCCGTCGTCAATACATAGCTAGAGTCCTGCATGCAAAACCCCGCAAAAAAAGCCCTGCATGCAAAGGTCTGCTCCTATCACGAGAATAAACGGCAATCAGTATGTGCATGGAGTAGTAGTTTTGTACTTTCGCTGTTCCTAGATATAAGTTGTTGGGGGAGTGTAAACTGAACTCCCCCATTGACTTATATTTCAGAACAGAGGTAATAGATAACTGTAAATATAGGATAGGTAATGTCATCTGGAAACAACTTTGATTATCACGGGGATACTCCAAAAAGTATATCAAATCATCATTCTGAAAAAAATGTAGTCAATTATTTATTTTAGGTGGACATATTTTCCAAAATTAAAATCTTGGATTTCTGAAATTTTAATTTTTTTACTGCAATTTAGGAACCTTTAATCATGTGTATGCACATGTATAACTTAATATGGAGATAGACCTAACTGATCTTGCATAGTTAAAAGTTCACACTAATTAGCTTAATACACATTTCTGTTGCAGCCATAGAGGGTGGTGCACTCGTAAATATGTAATGGGGCAGCACGTAGTAAGACCAGAGGGTAATGTGGTGCGTTAATCCTAGTAAATGAGTTGGTCAGGTGTGTTGCAGGACTCCTTCAATGAAACACTAACTTCAACCTCGTTTAGCTGTGGGGCATGCACACTTATTGACTGATAGATACATTGTATATACAACATCAATTCGTCCCATTGAATTCTATATACGTGAGATATGGCACGAATCCCAAAGAAATAGAGGGTGTGGATTACAACCTCGCGTGGCACCATGTCTACTCATGAATTATCGCGTTTTTGACATTAACGTTCTTATATTATGGGACGGAGGGAGTACTATAGTGCGTGTGGAACTTTAATAAGCAAACACAGAAACGACTGCAACAGGAGTATACATAACAAATTACGGAACGGTTTCGCACGCGCGTGTATGCGGAGGAAGAATGCTAGATGTGTGCGCTACGTAGCAATACGGTGTCCATGGTGAGCCCCGGGCCGAAGCCAAAGAGCACGCCCCACTCGCACCCCTCTCCGTTGGTGCTGCATCCCTCGGCGGCGGACCACCGTCGCAACTCGTCGAGGACGAACCACGCGCACGCGCTGCCCATATTCCCGTACTCGGCCAGCACCTTGCGTGATGCCCGCATCTTCTCCGGTTTAAGTCCCAGCGCCGCCTCCACCTTGTCGAGGATCGCGCGCCCCCCTGGATGCACCGCCCAGAACAGGGAGTTCCTATCGGTGATTGCGACGCCGGAGCCGTCGAGCATATCCTGGAGGCCGGCCTCGATATTTTTGGCGATCAGCGACGGGACCTCGCTGATGAGGCCGAAGGTCAGGCCCACCTCCCGCATGAGTCCCTGTATGGCGCCGCCGGTCTCCGGGATGAGGTGCTGCGTCGCGTGCACGATGTCAAACAGCTGCTTCTCTGTGGCCGGGTCAGCGTCGGCCCCGACGACGACGGCGGAAGCCCCGTCTCCGAAGAGGGCCTGGCAGACCAGGTTGTCCATGTGGGCGTCGTCGAGGCCGCGGAAGTACATGAGGTTGGTCTCGACGCAGACGGCCAGCACGCGTGCCCCACCGTTGTTCTCGGCGAGGTCCTTCGCCAGGCGCAGCACCGCCGCGCCGACAAAGCAGCCCTGGTGGTATAGTGCGACACGGCGGACGGAGGGAGAGAGCCCGAGGAGCCGTATGATGTGGTAGTCGGCGCCGGGCATGTCACTGCCGCCGCTGGTGGAGCCCACGATGAGTCTCAGCGTGTAATCTTGTTTTAGTCTGTTTGTTTCCCTTTTGTAATCACGCATGCATGTTTGCTTTGTATTTCCATGTGCATGACGCGTTGGATAAGCGCATGCAGCACGTCCCTTGCATCTAGGATCAGGCATAGTGGGGTTAGCTTGGCGTGAGTCTCGGTCAAGGCGTTGGCCTGATCGTGTGTGTAGGCATATGCCGTTTAGCTCATCTCTGAAGAATAACAGAAAAACGCCAGAAAAGACGCGTATCTTTGCGTCGCAAAAATCTTCCGTGTGTGATCTGTTCTTCGTGTCTCGAGAGAAACCACCATTGCTAGCTGAGAGAGAAGCCTTGGACCTGTCATTTGGCATCAGAGCTTTGATTGTATGCCCAAGATCATGCCGCGGGGCTCGCCGAAAAGCAGCGGAGATGGAACTCTGACGCTGCCGGAGGCGATGGAAGTCAAGCCGGAGCAGTTTGATCAGAACTCCTTCCCGCAGCTCGAGCGGGACAACTACTCCATGTGGGCGATGCAGATGCGCGTCCAGCTGCAGTTCATGGAGGTGTGGGGCGCCATCGACAAGGCAGGCCCCGAGTACGCGGAAGGCGGTGCTGAGTACCGCAAAGATCGTGGGGCGCTAACCGCGATTTATCGCGCCGTGCCCAAGACGATGCTTCCAACTCTCGCTGGCAAGGATTCGGCAAAAGAAGCCTGGGAAGCCATCAAGAAGTCCCATCTCGGCCACGACCGCGTTCGCGAGGCAAACTTGCAGACGTACAAGAAGCAGTTCGAGGAACTGAAGATGGCGGAGAGCGAGACCGTGGACGAATTCGCTACGCGCGTCACATCGCTCGTCAGCGGGATTCGTGGCCTCGGTGAGAAGCTCGACGAGATCGAGGTTGTGCGCAAGTTCCTGCGTGCAGCACCGGCGCGTTACATGCAGCTGGTGACCACGATCGAGCAGTGCATCGATCTCAAAACCCTGTCAACTGAAGACTTGGTGGGGCGTTACAAGGCGTACGACGAGCGCGTACGTTCTACCTTCGGCAATCCTCAGGAAGGGGAGCACCTGATGTTGTCACGTGCGCAGTGGGAGAAGCTCGAAGGGAAGAAGACAGGAGGTGAGGGATCGTCGTCCGGTGGCCAGAACGGCGACCGATCCGGAAGCCACGGCAAGAAACCACAGCAGCATGGCTCCAACTCAAACTCCGTCCGTGGCAAGAACAATGACTGGAAGAAGAAGTACAAGTGCCACAACTGTGGTATTAAAGGTCACTTTGCTGCTGAGTGCCGCAGGCCAAAGAAGGAGAGGGCTCTCATGGCAGAGAAGGAAGATGAAGGTCCAGCAACTCTGCTCATGGCGGAGATCTGTGATCTGACTGAAACTGACGAGCACTCCGGCGAGGTTCTCCTCAATGAAGAAAAGGTACACCCGAAAAGGTACAAAGGTGATGCTTGGTATTTAGATACTGGTGCTAGCAATCATATGACAGGGATCAAGGAGAAGTTCTTGGACCTCGACCTCACTGTGACTGGGAAGGTCAGGTTTGGGGATGGTTCAGCCGTGGACATTGTTGGGCGTGGCACTGTGTTGTTCCAGTGCCTGAACGGTGAACACCGTGCCCTTGCAAATGTGTACTACATCCCGTCGCTGAAGAGCTGCATCATCAGTTTGGGCCAACTTGCTGAACGTGGGTGCAAGGTGGTGATCGAAGGACGACTACATGGAGATTTACGACAAGGCACGCGAGCTTCTCGCGCACGTGCTGCGGAACCAGAGCCGTCTCTACATCCTCGACCTGAGCTAGGCGCAGCCGGTCTGCCTCATGGCTAACTGCGGCGACACGGCTTGGCTTTGGCATGCACGGTACGGTCATCTCAACTTCAAGGCGTTGCGCGAGCTAGCGCAGAAGGAGATGGTACATGGGCTGCCGCGCATAGATCATATTGATCAGATATGCGATGGCTGCCTCGTTGGGAAGCAGCGGCGACTGTCATTCCCTAGCGAGGCGACGTACCGTGCTGAGCGCCCGCTAGCGTTGGTCCACGGTGACCTCTGCGGGCCAATCTCTCCACCAACACCCGCCGGCAACCGCTACTTTCTTCTGCTTGTCGATGATGTCTCCAGGTTCATGTGGCTAATTCTGCTGAAAACCAAGGACCAGGCACTTGGTGCCTTTCACAGGTTCAGACTTGGTGCAGAGAAGGAAGTGGAGCTCGACCTTAAGGCACTCCGCACTGACCGAGGTGGTGAGTTCACCTCAAAGGCGTTCACGGCATACTGCGACGACCACGGCATCAAACACTTCCTCACGGCGCCTTATTCACCGCAGCAAAATGGTGTCGTCGAGCGCCGCAATCAGACAATTGTTGGCATGGCTCGTAGTCTGTTGAAGAGCAAGGGAGTCCCAGGAAAATTCTGGGGGGAGGCGGTCACCACTGCTGTCTACCTCCTGAACCGTGCGCCGACGAAGAGTGTCGCCGGCCAGACGCCGTATGAAGCCTGGTGTGCACGGGAGCCCAGTGTCGAGCACCTGCGTACGTTTGGCTGTGTCGCCTATGCCAAGGTGACAAAGCCGAACTCGTCGAAGCTTGCGGACAGGAGCGTTCGTACAGTTCTACTCGGGTATGAGCCGAACACAAAAGCCTATCGAGTATTTGATCCAATCGGCAACCGTGTCATCGTCACAAGGGACGTAGTGTTTGACGAGAAGCAGCAATGGGATTGGAGCACAGTGCACAGGCAAGAAGCGTCCAGTTATGAGGCGTTTACAGTCACGTATCCAATCATCTCCACTGCAGGTACAACTAAGGTGACGTTGGAGGACGGCGTACATGCAGAGACGGGCGAGACCACACCGGCCAGTGCCACTCCAATCGGCACGCCGTGCGAGTCGCCCGCGACGCAGAGCACGCCGAGAGCAGCAAGTGTTTCTGCAGGCATAGCAGTGAACACCGCTGCAGACGCTGACGAGGGGCGGACGCCTCCGTCCCACACCTACGACGAGCTCGGGCCCAAGGGGTTCAGAAACCTGATGGAGATCTTGGAGGAAACAACGGTTCCACCTGGTGCAGAGTTGCAGTTTGCCGACGCCGGTGTGGATGCTGAGTTGTGCTTGCTCGGTACAGAGGAGCCCACGTCACTCGTCGAGGCTCGGAAGGAGCCAAGCTGGAGGCGTGCCATGGAGGAAGAGCTTGACTCCATCCGTGGCAATGATACATGGCAGCTCGTCGACCTCCCGCCCGGACAAAAACCCATCGGTCTGAAATGGGTATACAAGCTGAAGAAAGATCCGAGCGGCGCTATCGTCAAGCATAAAGCCCGCCTTGTTGCAAAGGGATATGTGCAGCGCGAGGGGGTGGATTTTGATGAAGTATTTGCCCCTGTTGCGCGCATGGAAACTGTGCGTCTGCTCATCGCTGTGGCTGCACTTGAGGGCTGGCGTCTGCACCACATGGACGTAAAGTCCGCATTCTTGAACGGAGAGCTGCAGGAGGAGGTGTTCGTGCGACAACCCCCTGGCTATGAAGAAGAGGGCAATGAGCACAAAGTCTTGAAGCTGAACAAGGCATTGTATGGACTTCGTCAGGCGCCGAGAGCATGGTATGCCAAGTTGCATGCCACTCTGCTCACGCTCGGGTTCGAGAGATGTCCTCTTGAGCACGCGGTGTACATGAGAAGCAAAGGTGGCTCGCGGCTGCTCGTAGGCGTTTATGTCGATGACTTGGTGATCACTGGTGCAAGCCAAGTGGAGATTGACAGCTTCAAGGAGCAGATGAAAAATCTGTTCAAAATGAGTGATCTGGGTTTGTTGTCATACTATCTCGGGATCGAGGTAGCCCAGACCGCCAATGGCGTTACACTCAGCCAGGCCGGATATGCTCAGAAGATCCTTGAGAAGGTTGGAATGGCAGAGTGCAACCCAAGTCAAGTACCAATGGAGCCAAGACTGAAGCTAGTTAAAACTGATCAGGACAAGAAAGTGGACTCAACTCAGTACCGCAGCATAGTTGGGAGTCTGAGGTATATGGTAAACACAAGGCCGGATCTTGCTTACTCAGTGGGCGTCGTTAGTCGTTTCATGGAAGCTCCTACGGTGAACCACATGGCAGCAGTCAAGCAGATTTTGAGGTACATCCGTGGCACCATTCATCTCGGCTGTCACTATGAAAGGAAGGAAGAAGAGGAGCCACGACTTGTTGGATACAGTGATAGTGACCATGCTGGTGATCTTGATGATCGTAAAAGCACATCAGGTGTGCTATACTTCCTTGGCACCAATCCAGTAACTTGGGTCTCACAGAAACAAAAGGTAGTGGCAACATCATCGTGCGAAGCAGAATATATTGCTGCAGCTATCACTGCTTGTCAGGGAATTTGGTTATCATGGCTGCTTGGTGAACTGATGAACAAAGAGCAGCAGAAGAAACTGATGAAGAGGGAGCAGCAGAAGGTTTTGATCAAAGTGGACAACAAATCTGCAATTGCGCTTTGTAAGAACTCAGTCCATCATGATCGCAGCAAGCACATAGATGTTAGCTATCATTTCATTCGTGAGTGCGTTGAAGAAGGGAGGGTCACCGTGGAGCATGTCCGAACCGGCGACCAGCTCGCCGACATACTGACCAAGCCGCTCGCCCGTGTGAAGTTCCTGGAGCTTCGCGAGCGCATTGGACTCCGAGCGGTGAAGAAACAAGATTAAGGGGGTGAATCTCAGCGTGTAATCTTGTTTTAGTCTGTTTGTTTCCCTTTTGTAATCACGCATGCACGTTTGCTTTGTATTTCGGTGTGCATGACGCGTTGGATAAGCGCATGCAGCACGTCCCTTGCATCTAGGATAAGGCATAGTGGGGTTAGCTTGGCGTGAGTCTCGGTCAAGGCGTTGGCCTGATCGTGTGTGTAGGCATATGCCGTTTAGCTCATCTCTGAAGAATAACAGAAAGACGCCAGAAAAAATGCGTATCTTTGCGTCGCAAAAATCTTCCGTCTGTGATCTGTTCTTCGTGTCTCGAGAGAAACCACCATTGCTAGCTGAGAGAGAAGCCTTGGACCTGTCAATGAGGTGGGTGATGTCCTCGAGCGGACCTCCCCACTCCTTGAGCGCGGCGGTGGCCGCAGCGGCGGCGAGTTCCGGGACCTTCTCGGAGATGATGGCCTGGCGAATGTCCAAAGTAGGCGCCATGTAGGTGGTCATCTCAGGATTAGCAGCCAGCAGTGCCACGTCGATGTAGAGGTGCCGCTTCTTGATGGTCGATTTCTCACCTGCAGTACGCATGTTACCATTGAGCGAAGATTTTTTTTTTTTGCGGGTAACCATTGAGCGAAGGTTAATATGAGCATCCATCTTATGGACATTATGGCTCTCGGGACGGTAGATTTTTTTTGATTCGGTGATACTGACTAATATTTTTTTACGGCAATGATAAAATCCCGAACGTTCGGATTTTAAGCATGGCAACCCGAAAGTTGCCATGTCTTAACAACTAAAACTGCCACCTCGCGTCAACTAAAGTTGCCATGTAAAAACGTTCGGGATGAAATGCTTAAAATCCGAACGTTCGGACTTTATCGGGGTCCTTTTTTTAACATATTGGCTATATATCTGCACCCGCAAACTAGTTTTTGGGTAAAAATTTAACAATGGGCTATGTCATTTAACGGTGGCTCCGCTAGAAACTATAAAAAATTATAGCGGAGCTAAGCTACAGTTAATGTTCTTAATAAATTATGAAAAAATATAAGCATACAAATACATGATATATGAATCACAATAATCAGTATAACCGATTTGTTTATCTAAGATTTAGTATCTTAAATTAGTAAAAGAAATATTTTTTTAAAAGATAAAACTAAGAATTTGTATCATAAATTCTTTGTTTTCTTATAAGAAATATAATTTTTTGGATTTAGTCTCTTGTAGTTTAACTTGGTTGGTGCCATGGAATTGCACTTGAATTTAAACTGCAAAATTTTCATTAATCTTTTTGAATTGTTTTTATATTTTTCTTAGGATTACAATCATGAGATTCCTGGCTTTTATTGAAGAGACACAACTTCCCCGATATAGTATCATGACATTTTTTGTAATTCTCAAGCTTCACTTAAATTAATACTTCGTGTTAATTTTCCAACCACGATATTAATCATTGTCTGTTTGGAACTTTCAACGGGAAAGTCATCCTCATGTTGTGGAACATGCTCAGTTGTCACACGACTCAGAGCAAGGATAATAAGCGAGCCCAATTGTTACCTCTATATCAATGACACATCATCTATAGTCAGTCTAATAACGCACTAAGACAGTTGTTGTTGGTTCTACATACTGTGTCATTAATATGTGTGGCACACCTTCTTGTCTCACAAAGTGAGTTGGAGACTATCCTATAACATGCTATAAATTTACAATACACTCTTGTTCTCTCAGAGCGCTTTTTCAGCGGACGAGCGCCTCATAGGACGTTATCTCGCCCGCTCATATAAGGATCGTGCTTCCAGTTTCGCAGTCCAGGCTGGCTTTACGAACAGTCCAGGCTTAGTTATACATCGAGCCGGCGAGTATACGGTATCGTATTGAGTCAGAGGAAAACGCGTCGGATTTAATGATATACTAGAATTGTGCGAGCCTCGAGGTACAGGTTAGAACAGAACAGTGCTTAGATGGTTTAATGGTATGCCAGGCCAGAGCTTTCCTCCCCAACAACACGCACAAAACAGTGCTCAACTGGTTTAAAGGTATGGCAGGAATCCAATGGAGAATATGTGCCGGGTCTCGTACAGGTGGCGACAATGGTTAAGTGATCCCCTTCTTAACCCTAAACAACTGACCTAATTAGAACTAACTATATTCTGGAGTAGCTAGGTACTGAATATGTGCCTCGTACGGTCGTACCCTACGTGTGGCTCCAGTGCTTGACACCGGGTTAAACTTTGAATCTAGCTGCCTACGTTGATTTTCTAAATTTACCTTGACTTTTAACCATAGACCATGTTACATGAAAAATAATTAATTAGCATGATTTGATCACTGCTGTTACTTACAATAGCTAGTCAATGTGTACGTGCAATGCATGTTAATTTGGAAGTATATCAAGTGCATGTGGATATTAATTACGATATTATTTGCGTGTTATTATGTGATTAACACTATATTTGGCATGAAATTAACTGCACGCTAAACGTGTTGAGCGCTCGACATTGAAGCAGTCTAGATCGTTGGATTGAAATGATTTGATGATCGAGATTAATTGGATCTTCTCCTTTGGGTCTTTTATATTGGTATAGATATAGATATAGATATAGATATAGATATAGATATAGATAATGTTTTGATTCTCCAAACATGTTTTAAGGGGACTGCTAATTTCAACCAGGTCAACGTGCCTGTTAATGGCCCATGTACCGACTCAAAACCTAACAACTCGTGCATGATTTGTTTGAAGGGGTATCAAGTACGACCAGCTGCATAGCAGACGTGGGCCATGCCGTGATAAACGGCAACCTTATACGCACCAGGATAGTGACTTATTAGCAAGAATACAAGGAGTAATAAAGGCATGGTGGGAATCCAGATGAAAACAAACGAGGAGGATACCGAGACCCGATAGAGTCGTCCTCCAAAACGACTATTTGCTTGTTCTCTCTCTCTCTCTCTCCAACTCATTACAAATTTGATGTGGAATATTATAGTCCACTTTGTCACCCCATTTTACATGCTCTCATATTGCTTGTATATGTCAACTTGCATTTAATATGATTCATAAATTATTAAAATTAAATTATACTCCCTCCTTTGCAGAATATACGGTGTATTGATTTCCGTGCAAGTAAACTTTGAATGTTTGATCAAGATTATTGAATAAAAATATAAACATCTGCAATACCTAGTAGATAAAATACGAAACTACTTTTCATGATGGATCGAATTATATAAGTTTCGTACATATTGTTGATATTGACATATTTTTCTAAAACTTGGTCAAACATGCACGCATTCGGCTTTTGATAAAACAAATACACCTTATATAAAGGGACGGAGGGAGTATATCACATTTGTCAGAAATAGATGGGTGTGAATCCCCCAACGAAGTAATGGGTTAGATAAAGGTAGGAGAGCTCCATGGAGGTCCTATGGACTTTCGTCCATCATATTATGGCTTAGTAGTTCATCCCCACTAATATATTTATCTCAATATGCACTATGTGCTCAAGAAGTAAAGATGCTTGGCAATAGGCCCACCTGAAGACGATGCATGCAAAAAAGCTTGAATGTTTTCACTATGTTATGCTACCTACATTAAATAAATATTTATGGTACTTACATTCAATTAAAAAATATAATCATACCATAATCATATGTATTTTTAGTTTTAGTTCTTTATATTGTTACTCCAAATATTCATATTCATATATAACCAAACCTTCCTGAAATACTCCATAAGCCCCTATTTACATGACACACATCTTTTTCAAAGACCAACTTTGATAACCAATTGATCAACATAATGTATGTTACGCTTAAAATGTTAATACCATTCAATTCATGCTAAGATTTAGATTACATCTGTATAATTTTTATGATATGTTATATATTATTGAGGAAATTAATGAACAAAATTTTATGATAAAATGAGGGCTCCATGAATTAAGGGACATAAGGAGTATATTTCAAGCAATTCCCGCACCAACACACGTGGTACCATCTAGTAGCATACAGCTTAGTAGACCTATATTTACCTCATAAAAATAATCTATGAACAACAACATATCAGTAAATGTGTCAACTGATTTTCTTATATCAAATTGTCGCAAATGCAACTAACGATGACAAACAACAAACCCTTTCCTGCCCCCACACGGATCACGAAGCACAGTCGTGTGTCTAAGATAGATACTGCCAGAGCAAGCTATGATAGACACAATTTTGTATATATTATATAGACACAAACATTAATCTTTTGTACTCCTGAGGTGCATACTACCATATTCACTATACTTGTATACACAGTTATTACACCTCTTTATCATTCTCAATATACTTAATTAATTATTCTAAGATACCTCAATGCAAGTTATACCAAAAAATATCATGGGAGCCATTAGTTCATCCAATATAGCATAAAGTTTTTACGTACAAAAAATGCAGTTGATGAGAAAATAATATAAAGTACATAGACTAAAATGGAAGTTTTTATGGAGCTCGCTTTGGGTATCTATTTTATTAGTGAACTATATTAAAATAATAGAGAGGTATAATGTTCTCATGTATGTGGTATATGAAAGAACCATCTCCACAGTTGTCCGCTAATTTTGTTAAAAATTTGAAGTGACAACTCATATATTTCCCAACAATCAATTTTATTAATTATTAGCCACTTGATGAGATCCAAGCATCCAAAATGAGCAGCGTCAAATATATACTTTGTATAAACTGCAATATTCATTACAAGAATGGAATAAATACACATGTTGTCTATATATAGTAACGGATTTGAATTTCCTACTAATGATCATGACCATCATCCAACATTGATCTACTTGATACTCCTATTTAACTCCGACCATTTAGACTCTACTAACTTCCACCCCGCAAAAAAAATAAAAAAAAACTCTACTAACTTCGGTTCCAGTAGTTTAATTAATTAATAGGAGTATGTGCTTATCACATGGCCTTTGTTATTTCTGGAAGGGAAACAAAAGGTACGCAGTTTCCACAAAAGATACGTACATATGCGCCTGAACTTGTCCTTGAGGTGCTGCTTGTGGTCACTGTTGGTGACACGGAAGTAGAAGTCTGGGAACGTGCTCTGCTCCACCACGTTGCTGGGGTTGCCCGTCCCTATGGCCAAGATGGACAAAAAAAAAAAAGATGGACGCCGTGCCCATGGCCTTCTTCTGCCCGTGTACCTTAGCTACCTGACCCTGGCTCCCCATGTCTACTCTCGCTTCCTGAGCGGAATGCTATCCTCTAGATTAGACCAAAAACCCTCAAGCTAGTCGAGACTGGTTGGCTTCAACTCCATGGAGCTTATCACGTCTATTTATAAGGGCGTTGTTGCTGCTCCTAATACTTCATGCTTTGATGCATGCGTGTGTGTGGCCCGTGCATATGACAAGAAAACCCTAGCACTGATTCTTATTTACATCCCCTAAATGTTAGACCTTTCTTTCTACTTTCGAGTTCTTCTCGCTGATACCTACACTAATTGTTAAAAACAATTGTGGTTGGTATATACCTACACTAATTGTTAAAAACAATTGTGGTTGGTATGTCTACCCAAGTCCACCATGGTTTTTCTTTTGCTGCAGTGACATTAGCTCAGGAGTAGTTGTGAGCTGTGACCTATACTCTCGAGGGATTTCAGGGTTCAAAGTACTACCGACATATGGAAGTTAGTTGCTGTGTCATCTCCTAATACTATCGACTTTTCCTTAGCTGATACCTACACTAACTGTTAGAATAAAATGTGGTTGGTA